TATATATATATATATATATATATATATATATATAAAAGATGTGGGTGATCTATATTTCTCTCTGAGTAGTTAAGCTACATATACTCGTTTCATATATATTTTTTAAACTGAGCTACTGAAATGTATAAACTTTTCAATAATATGACTACTTTACATAGATGCCCCTATACCCACATTAGGTTGATGTTCCCCCCAGCAGTTTTTAAAGGCCTGCAGCAACCCATGGAGCTTGCTGACTCACGCTCTGGATTAACAATATAGGTACAATCTAAAGATATAATTTCGCACACTTTGTTATTTCCAATAACTAAGACATTCCCCCCGTTGGGACACTACCCCATGTGGAGGGCTTTCAGTGGCAGGGCCCATACTAATGTCCCAGATTTCCTCGTAAGACTATACGCACGGCTTCACCCGGTACAGTAAACGACAGCCCCTCCGTCGCGCCAACAGGCGGACACAGATGATGGGGTTGAACAGGCCAATGCCAGAGCCTGTAAATTACCCCAGTTAGGCCATGACTCGATGCAGCGCTTATAACGAGAGCCGTTCAAAAACAGAGACACAATAATATCCAGACCCAACAATCTATGCTGCAGAAAAAATAAGAAAGATGCGGGAATAAACACGGAGCCGTGAGTCTAATTACCGACATGATCATCTGGGGCGTCCACACTCATCCTTGATATTCCTCCTCCCTTTAAATCCTAACACTAGACTAATTCAAGCGGGTTAACAGAGACGAGTCTCACGTTTTTATTTTCAAAAGCTTTCCTTTCCGGTGTGCTCTCACGGACCTCCAAGCGCTATAATAAACGGCGAAGTCTTGCATGTCTCACCAGCAGCGATGCTCATGTCACCGCCTATATCCTCACAGCCGAGGAGGCAGCAGAATGACTCAGAGCAGCAACGACAACCTGCGGAAGATAAATATCTCTCACCGTGCAGCTGCCTGATGGACACCCGGCATCCGACAGATAGCTAGATAGGTGAATGTGTGTATGAAGAGGATTATTCTGAGCGCTGGAGCTGCTCCAGCAAGCTCCGCTACCCAACCCAGCTCCTTCAGCGCTTCTACGTCTTTGCCTCTCGGTGGCGCTGTGAGCTAGAATTGGGAGAGCAAATGGGATTATGTAACAGCAGGCCACAGCCTGGAAATCATGAGTGAGGATGATTGTGGATGATGACTCTAGGAAATTCAGATTTGTAGAAAACAAATGAACCAAGAAAGAAGGGAAAAGATGCAGCGTAGCTAACTGATGCTTCGCCAATAGTGTTAATAAGTCTTATTTTGTGCACCAGAACTGACGAAAAGATACAAGTGCATATCACAGCTCATTTGAAAATAATACCACCGTATTATTTCAATCTCATTTCAAATCGAGAGTCTTGAACTAGACTCACTGTGGTCTCATTTTGTATTTATTTAACTATTTTGTCTTTTTTTTAATTTTTAATATTATTGTTATTCCTTATGGAGGTCTAAAAGATATAGGAGTGTGTTTTTTTTTTTACGTAAACGTAATTCTGACACCGTGCGCTAGATGGCGTCAAAGCATTGAGCTGGTCTGAAATAATCTCTTTGATTTACCAGCCGTGAAATGCATCAAACACAAATAAAAGACCGATAATGAAATCAGAATCACCACTGAGGTCCGACTAAATCAAAATCAATAAAACTGATGCTAAGATAATGCATTTCCGTTTACTATTTTCTGGTCAGTCTCTTTTCAGTGACGTTAAAATCTTGTTAGATTTAGTTAATAAAAACTTATTCTCTTAATTGCTGCATTTTATGAGAAAACAGTAACTGACAAATTTGATCTGCTTTCTCTATCCAATAAAATGCTTTGAAGTTCCTAAGTAGTCAATAGAATCAATCAAATAGATTTTTTTTTTCAGAAATACAATCTCTGAGTTCAGCTTTGTTGTTCAGTTGAGCATGTCAAAGTGTATTAATAAAAGGATAGCTCACCTCTGTTTTAAGTGCCATGTAAACCTGGAGACACAGTGTCCGGTGCTATCAATATGACGCTGTCTGAGTTCTTTAGACTGTATTTAAAGGTTGTAATACACCATGCCCTAAGTCAAGTCTCTTTTACCTTTCTGTACTTCCCTTCATTTTGTCTTCCCATGGACATTCTTGTTCTCTGGAATTCTCTGTCAAGATACATTTAAATCCACTAAAAATAATATTTAAAAGAATAGAAATATCAGATGGCATCCACTCTCAGAGGTTAGGAGTCTGTCATATAGAAGTATTCACTAGGAATGGCTTTACTCCACTGCTTGGCATAGTTTGGTGTAATACTTAACATAATTGAGGTAAAATTATCTGACCACGCAATTCTGACAATAATCAAATCATTCGTTTGCTAAAACTGCTTATGTCTTTCAAATAAGATATTAGAGATATAAAGTTACGTTTATTGTAGAATTTAACGTAAATCTGACTCCAGACACTAGATGGCGCCAGAGTACTGAGCTGCATAGCGCATGCGACATCAAACTCAGTTGAGTGACTTCCTTAATGACGTGCGTTTACTTATCAAACAGGCCATTGCGTCCACAAAGACATTAAGGAAAGAAACAGGATATAATAAATCACCACAAAGGTCAAGCTGAAACAAGATAACAGAACTGCTGTCTGGACTGAATGGTTTCATTTTTTTCACTTATGTATTAAGTGTTTGATCTTTTGTAATGCTTCCCATTGATTACCTACTAATTATTTTTAAACAATGTGATTTTGTGGGTAAGGATGTCTTAATGATACTACAAACAAGTTTAGTACTTTTCTGTTAGCATTTGTTGAATGTTAGATGAGGGGATACTCTAACCAGGAATGTTACAATTTATCGTTTTTCTTTACTTCATAAAAATGTTTTTTCTTTTTACATGTAAATGATGTAAAACTCCTTCACAAAGCAATAGCTAATGGACGTAAGGCAAAATCTCATGTTTTGGAAGTTTTTAATGAGTATTTTTGCAATAAAAATAGTTCCTTATTTGCAATCAAAAATATAAACCCAAGTAATTCTATGCAAACTTAATGGATTTTTGACTCATAATTAAAATAGCAATAGTATTGCCTATATTGATATGGAAATATATTTAAAATAGTTTTGATGTTACTGTCATAGCTCATTCGTACTCATATTATTGGTACTCAGAAAAAAATTGCAGTATATTATTTATTTATTTTTACAATCTGTATATGTTCCGTTTTTATTGTAAATGCTGCTGCATACTCACTCAGTCTACACCTGCCTTTGCACTATAATAAATTACTTAATACCATTGCTCTGTCATATGCTGCAGACCTAATCTCATTGCCCTGTGCGGTTAGATGGATTGCAGTGATAATGAATGTACTATTATTATTCTGCATATTCATTGTATTTATTTAAGCCTGCATATAAACACATTTAAACATTATACAGTCTTTAAACTAATAAAAATAACAACTAAGCATATCACTAAAGAAATTAAAAGTAGTGGACTCTGAATGAGTTAAAAAATATATGACTGAATAAAAACGCATGATATATATATATATATATATATATATATATATATATATATATATATATATATATATATATATATAATTTTGTTCGTTCTGCTGGATTATCAAAAAGAAAGTAAATACATAAAATAAAATAAAACAAAACAAAAAAAGCAGAATGATTGTTTTAGAACCTGCCTCTTTTTTTTTTACAGTTTTTGTACAATATTGGACTTGATTGAGCTCAACAGAGGAAGCTCACTTGTCACAGCAAGAAGCAAACGAACAGGAATCAAAATAAAGTAGAAAATCTCTATCCAAGCTAATATGAAAAATAAACTATAGCCTAAACCCATATCAGATCATATTCTACAAATGTTCTTGTCTAAATATATTTTTGACGTTGTTTGAACTTTTTCTTGTTTTGTGAAGTGTCACACTATGCTCCGTGTTTATTTTATTTGTTTATTTTTATTTTATTTCTAACATGATGATTTTTTTTTCCCCACCTCTTACTTCTAACAAAACAAGAATCCGGTTAGATCTGATCAAGAAATCAATAATACTTCTCTCATTAATGTTGAGAGAAATCTACTGATAGTAAAAGAAGCGCATTTCGGTATTTTTCCGGTGTTCGGTGTTTTTTTCGTTCTGCTCTGTAATTTACATACACGCTGCATATTCACATGAGCGTAATAGCTGAGTTTGTCCTCCACTACATCCACGCTGCGCAGCCTCCCTGCGCCATGCGTCCTGTAGTGGTCCTTCCCCTCTCCCGTAGCCCAGCCCCCTTGATCTCCTTCGTCCACTGGTATGTTTGGGGTGTCTCGCTCTCTCTTTTCCATAGGTAGTCAATAATGAGTGTCCATTGGCTTTTATTAGGCTTGCCCCCCTGCCTCCCTCCCTCCCACTGGCCTGCTTCGCCCAGCCCATGTTTTCTATGTCTCAGTCCGTCCACCTCCTGACGTTCAAGTTCGCAGGAACGTCACGTCCGCACTTGAACTTGCAGCTCAGAGGGGGGTTTCGCCGTATACCCCCATCACACTCTCTCTCTCTTTCTTTCTCTCCCTCTTTGGAGGAAAAAGTCATGAAGAGCTCCACACAGCCCGTCGCGCGTTACGCATCCCGCTCCGTCTGATCCGCAGCTCTGCTTCTGCTTTTTGTCCCTCTTCTGCCTTCATCCGGATGACAGACGCATCAATGAAGATTTTCTCATTTGGAGTGTACCTCGTAGGGACGGATTTCCCAATGTGAACTCAGCTGAGAAGCCCCCGCCGAACCGACCATGTCTCGCCGCAAGCAAGGCAAACCCCTGCACTTGAGCAAACGGGAGTTTTCGCGTAAGTGGGAATATTTCGCCTCTCGGTTTTTATTCTACCCCGTGAGGGATGATCTATTAATGGTTCTGTTTACAGACACAACTTCCTTGGATCGTTTTTATAGGTACATGGGTTTGGGAACACACGCATTTTCACTTAGACACAGGTCTCCATAAAAACGTGGAGCCTCCTGGGTGAAAAAGTTCCGACTGGAACCTCCAAGCAGAGTTCGTTGTTTAACTGTGGTCGTCAAGGTTTGTTTCGCCATTAAAGGGCATGCATTAGCTTTATGGCCAGAGACCTTTGCCTCTGCATGTGAAGGCAGCGCAGGCTTTAGTTGCGGACATTCGCTCACAACTTCCAGTGTGAAGCTTCCAACGTCACCCAACAACTTCAGCCTGTCATTGTGATTTTTCTGACCGCAATAAAACATTTAAAGGTATTTGCGGTAGTTTGGACACAAGGAAGTACAGTGTGGTGTTTACATACCCACATGCCAACAGCGCGGGGGGAACGGTCTGTGCCGTACCGAAAAAAAAATAAATAAAAAATAAATAAATAAAAAAGAAGAAAGTGCAGTTTCCTCTTAACAGACGATGTTATTACGCAGTTCAATCGACTAGCATTGGGTTATAAAGTGTGATGAATAATAATATGTAAAGAAAAATGTCACTTCGCGCTCTGGCTCGTCACAGAAATGCGTTTTTTGCGCGCGCGCGCTGTGCATTGATGTGACTCGTGGATCAGCTTTTACGCGCTGCAACAGATTCACTTAAGCAGCAAAATAAGTCTTATAGGCACGAATGACAGCAGGAAGGCAAGAGCCGTCTCATCAGTTCGTTCCTTGAGTATCAGTGATGACGAAGACACACACACACGCACGCACACACAGGGTCCAAGTTGGTGTCGGCGATCAGGAGAGCTTGGATTTCGTTTGACTTTACTTAGGGCCATTGTTGATGTCCATGCCTCCATAACTTTCCGTCGCAATCAATTACGAGTTGTTCTGCTTAATGCAAAACACACACAGTTGAATGGTAATTGGAAGAAGGATGTAGCCAGTTGGGGGCGCACTGTGATTGCGGTCCTATACGGTGGCTGAGGGGACGGAGGTGGGGGGGGGGGGGGGGGGACGCGTCGGGGTAGTGGGAGGGGGCACCAAGCATGAACTTCATCTGCTTCATCCGTGTCCTGCTTAACCTGGAGCTTGCAATGGGTCGTTTTTTGTTATTGTTGTTGTTGGTAGTATGGAAGAGGGGGGTCGGGGCCTCATCTTATGATTTCTTATTTGAATTTTAACATTAGTTATTCATATGTTTTTTTTTATTTCTCTTTTTCTACCCTTCACTTCATGCCTCCACTAAATTTCCTTTTCCCCCTAAAAAACTGTGGCGGCAAGATAATGATACTCCTGAATTTCTGTTTTGTCTTTAATCTGAAGATTATAGTAGCCCCCCATCTGTCCACCTCCTTGAGGACTTTCTGGAGGCGTCCCTGCTTGCTATTGTGACCAATCAGGAAGCTAATAGTTGCTTCATTCTAAGGAAACAGGTGAAAAGAATGATGGAAGCATGTCTGCTTCTAGTGAATTCATTTGAGAACGTGCTAAGAAATCCCTCCCCGCCCCCTCTGGCATTTTCAGGAAACGAGTGGAATGAAGTTATTGATCCACTGTTGTTTCAGGGAGTCACGTTGGCCTAAAATGGTAAATTAAAAAAAAAAAAAAAAAAAAAAAAAAAAGGGCAAAATAATTTCCCTGATAATCAAACAGACGAGCTGCAGCAGCGGTCCAGTGGGACATGTTGGCCTAAACTACTTAAAATTCTGGCACAGTGAGAGATGTCTGGAAAAAAAAAAGAAAAAAAAAAGGTTTTCATTTACATCACTCTTGCTTGGCTTCAAAATGAGATTATTTAGTTTGGAAGAAAGAGAAATGTTTCCATCTACCCCGTCCTCACACACCTTCGCCTGCGTCCACAGCGCAAACCGGTTTAGATAAGCCTCAGTAAAATAGGGGGCCGCATTCCTTCATCTTTAATGCAGTCGAACGTACAACTAACGGGGCCTATCTTGCATACAGTCCCTCACCACCTTCTCATCTGACCCGAAACAGAATTAGAGGTTGAAGCGGCAAGAATTCATCACATCTTATCGCAACATCCCAGTTGGGGCGCCTGATGTCGTTTACCATGTGGCTAGAATATTTCTTTTTAAATGCTCACCCTCTCTCTCCTCTCTTCTATCCGTCTCTCTCTCTCTCTCTCTCTCTCTCTCTCTCTCTCTGTCAGTACTTCAGGGACCTACTCCACATCCAACCCCTCAATGTCTAACCTTGGTTCACAAGATCCCAGCACTTTTAACGAAATGGGGTCCAATCATCTTGAACTCAAATTAGAATCTATTTTTTGATTCTCAGAGGTGTTAGGTTCATTAAAAAAGCAAGATTGGCAGCACAATAAAGAGGGTCAAGCAACTTAATCGTTTGACTGCTGCCAGCAAGCTGAACGTGTCAGTCCTTATCGAAGGGAGGCTGTGTTGCTCTTTTCTTATCTTTCCTCTTTTGCTATTTCTTTAAAAAAAATTTCACATTTACACTTTAAATCCTGACCATATTCTTTCAGATGTCAGGCAGAGTGCACTGCAGGCATAGTAATTCACTTGTTGACACATTTAAAAAAGCTTAAGAGGAAACGCTCATTTCCTCTTAAGCTTTCTCTAATTTTGCTGAGTCACGTTTACAAACCTCAATAGATTTTTGGATCTACAAAAACGAGACTTTTTGATTGTTGCTCGTTCTTCTTTGGAAAATACTTCAAGCTGAGTCGAAATGGACGTGGAGCATCTGTGAGCATCGGGTTTCAAATGTTGAGCACAGATACATGCCCAAACTTTGCCAAACTTTGACTGGGCCATTCTAACACTTGAAAATGTTCTGATCCAAACCTTCCCATCATAGCTCTGGTTGTAAATTTTTCTGCTGTTTTCCCACTTCAGGTCATTTGGCACCTCTAACAGGTTTCCCTCCATCTTCCGGCAAGATGGCCTTATTTTATATGCCCTTCTTTAGTTCCTCCTCCATCACCATTCCCTGTCAGGTTATGCGGACAGCCTTGTTTTAGGTTTCCAAGTTTTGCCCGAACACGTTTTGTTTTTCTGCTGGTGGACTGAATCGTTCTTTCTCCCTGATGTGTCCGGAGAAATTTTGTTTGTCAGTGTTCTCTAACAAACTGCTGAGTTCTTCGCAGAACATCTGGATTTATACCGAGATCAGAGTGCAGCTGGACAAATTAGGTCACTCTGAGGGTAACTGGGTGTGCTTGATTTTACTTAGGGCTATCATACCGAGGAGGGCAGAATACAAAGTCATGGCACACATTATTATTTGTAAATCATTTTGAAAACCATGTATTGTTTTGCTTCCACTTCACAGTAATATCCTAAGAAGGTAAAGCTAAAGTGTGTAAGTTTTATTTAAATTATGTATCTGTTAAAACTGTCACTGTATTCTGACAATAAAAATTGAACTCCTCTGCCTTCTCCCAGTTCTCCTACCAACTGCAGAGATACACAGAAAAAAAACAGTCAGAGTCAGACGGAGGGTTTTGGTGCTGTCAATCAGGCTTGTATACATGCTGCTCACATGCTTCTCCCCACTCTGCTATGCGGCAGCTGAGTCTGTCATGTAAGCTCAGGTTAGTTCGCATGACCACCGACGCTAACTAACCTGACAAAACAGTTTTCCTGGAATGGTGAGTTGTATCTCTGCCATTAGCACTTTGAGCAGCAGGTACACGACGTTGATTGCTGACGCTGACACCCTCCTCCTGACTCTGGTTGGTTGTTTTTGATCGGGAGCGGTGCATTTCTTTCACATCACTGTAGTAGCTCAGGCAGGAGGTCATTTTTTTTCTCGTAGATTATGTATCTCATACCGTCAGGACACAGTGACAGTTTCAACAAATATGTAAAAAGCTGATATTTTTAAATTAATTTTACATACTGGTTCTTTAAGAAGTCTGAATACTTTATCGTGTCACACTTTACCTGCAGTCTTGCTGCTTCTGTTACCAACATCCTCTGTTTTGTCTGCTTATCCAGCTGAGCCACCCTCAGGTGTTTTAGCCGAAGACGACTCTCAGGACTCCCCCAGGCTGGGTGTGGCTGACGACGAGCCCCTGAAAGGGGATCCGGACCTGCTCACCTGCGGCCAGTGCCACACCCGCTTCCCCCTGGCCGACATCCTGCTGTTCATCGAGCACAAACGGAGGCAGTGCCACGGCAGCCTCTGCTTGGACAAACCTCTGGACAGGCCGCCATCCTCGCCGCTTGCCTCGCCCCTCTCCACGTCCTCGTCTCACTCTCGAAGTCAGCAGCAGCAGCAGAACCACCCACGGAGAGCACGGCACCCGGTGGAGGTGGCCATACAGGTGTCGTCTCTGGACGAGGATTGTTTATCTGCGCCCTTGCAAGGAATAATCCCCAAGCAGGAGAATGTCACAGGTAAACACACTGGTAGCTTGAGCTGGGCACCTTGACAGAGTCCGCAGCTTCTGGGGTTCACACAGAGTCTGCTCCAGAGGAAGACAAACACGACCTGGGATTTGCTCGGTTTGCTTCTTGTAATTGGGATGTTTGAAAATCGGCACAAGCGGGGAGGAAAACGCGTCTCTTGCTACGTTTTACGGGCTGCAAAAGTTTCCCCAGCTGTGTCACGAAACTAAATGAAGACCAGATACCCTGAGGATGAAGGAAGCGTTTGGAGATGATGAAAAAGACACAAATGTAGTCAGACAAAGAGACAAATCCTGAGAGGGGGAGCTTAGGCTGAAAGAAGAGATGAGTTTCTGTCGGTTTGTCCTGCATCACAGATGTGCTCAAATCCCGGCGACAGATATCCTCTCTCATGTGGCGCTCGGCGATGTATCTCCATCCCTTACTGGCTTATTACACTGTCATAGAGTATCTCTCTTTCCCTCAAATATGTGCCTGCAGAAGCTCACTCCGGTTCTAAAATTAAAAAGCGATGGAGAAGAATGTAATTATCTGTCAGCGAAGAAGTGTTTATTTGAGGAACTCTACAGCCACTAATTGTCAGTGTTTTTCTTGATTTGAAGTAATTAAGGACTTCTTAGGCCGGCTAGTTGGTTTGCTGGGTGTCCACGGGGGCTAAATGAGGCTGCAGTGAAAACACGAGTTGCTGTGCAAACAAGCATGCGTTCCCTCATGGCTGGTTTTTCTTACACAGCGGGCTTTGATTTCAACCAGCGCATTCAGACGTTTTCCCCTTCCCTTTATCGGGGGCCGATAGCGCGTGCCAGATTGTGCCGATTGTCCGGCTGGTTGTCATTTATTTGATGCCAGCGGAGGCTAAACGCGGGGAGGGCGCTCCGTCGTTCTGCTCTCCTGGACGGCAATCGCAGAAGGCCTTTTTGGTAGAGAGCTACCGTCAGTCAGCCCTCCCCCCTGTGACACAGGATGACCACTGTTTGTTTGTTAACAGTTTGTTAAACATCTGTGTGTACACCCACACACGCACACGCAGACGCAGACGCCTTTTGGCGTTGTCAGCTGTTCAAACATGCATTTCTTTGCTCATTTAGATCTTCATGCAGTGGAGTTCACATGATATCATAAGGTCGCTGGCATTGTGAACAGAGCTTTATTTATGGGACTTATAAAGTATTTGGACTTTGTGTAACAGCAGAGCCCGTCCAAGGCCGCACAGGGCCCAATACTAAATTTTATTTAGGGATGGTTTCAGCCTTTCTCATTTATATCATCCAAGTTTAATTGTCGTTACAATATATCTGGGATCATTGCTACGTTTTACAACAGCAAAGTAATATAATTCATCGAAATGTGTGGCTTTTTTTTTTCAGTTCAGCTTAGCTAAAATTTAGAGTTAGGTTTCCTTCTTATAATGTCAAGTTGGCACAGGCCTGCTGCCAGCCTCAAGGTTCATCCTGGATTAGAAAAATGTCAGTTTCAAAACTGCTAAATGTTTTTGGTGTACCGGTCCTGAGGTTTAAAGAGCTTCTGTTGCTATCAAAAAAACTGAGTTTACTATTTAGTATGAAGCATATAGTTGTACAGTTCTTCCCTCCCTCACCTGCTGCTGCACACTGCCAGTCTGCTGGCTGAAAGAATGCTTATTTACTTAGACTAAAAACAGTACTGCAGTAGAAACCTAAGGAGATCAATCAATTACTCTTACTATGGCTGTAAAAGGTCTGATAGGCAGCCCAAATGCATGCTGGGTACCAGAACAAATAGCCCTACTCATGATTATGACCTTTTTATACTTTGAGTGTTACTTTCAAATTATTTTAACAGTAAGAATCAGACTGTGTATTGTAGCTTCAGCAGGAATAATTATTGCTTTTCTATTTTTAATAAATCATCTTGTCATTTTTTGTTATTTTCATGGTAATAACATGATACTCCAAAAATCTTGCATCGATATGACATTTACTTTTGACGTTTAAGGACCATGAGGGCAGATAGAGCATAAAAATCAGTTTGTCTGCTTCTAAAATAAAAATAAAAATGTCTTCCTCGCTGAAGTTACACTGATATGCATTTTGGATATAAAGTGGGACACCACCGGCGTCTTGCTTGTGTAAAAATAAAAAAAATGTTTGTGCTTTTAGGATCTTCCGTTCCCCGTAAGCTCATACTTTCATCTGACTCCGAGTGACCTGTCAGGATTAGGTTGAGTTCAATTTTTGGAGGGGTACGTCTGCATCAGCTTCTTTATTTTATTACATTTCATGTAAAAAAATAAATAAATAAATAAATCAAAAGAATCTGATCAGCAAATAAATAAAGCCATAGAAACATTTTGGGTCAAGCAGAAAATGTGTGCAGAACAGACAGCAGATGCATATAAGCCGGTCCCCTACACTGCTGCTGCCACCTCCACCTCCACCACCTCTGCTTTCTGCATCCAGGATTGATGGATGAAGACTGGCAGTGCCAGTGAGCCACCTCGCGCTCCATATGCTTGCTGCCATGTTCTTTCACCCCTTCTCGGTTAGAGTCTGACACCGAGCTGAGGCATCTCAATGCATACTGTCCCTACACTTGCTTCTCATTCTCACTCAGTTCCAGGAGAGTGCATAATATGCTGCAGCCCTGCACTCGAAAGTGGCCCCTTGTGCTCCTCACCCTCCTCCTGACCTGTCATTTGACACAGATAGATTTCCATATGGACAGCAGTTTATAAACGTGATGGCGCTTGGTTTAGGCTGAGAAAGGAGGCTGCTGGACTCAGAGGGTGCCGACACCCAGGGGACGACTGAACCTGAAGGTGGGGGATGCAGGGTGAGGGCAGGACAGGAAGTCGGAATGAGGGGCCTCATTCTGCAATGGACCCGGAGCCGGAGAGGAGCTGTGCCTTTCCGTCTCTGTCTGGGGGACAGCTGAGGCTGTCTGGGAGTCCTCTGACTGCAGCTGGGGCCGGGGCCTGCTGTCTGGAGCTGCGGGCCGTTAGCTGAGGGCAAAGCAGCCTGCACGCCGTCATTTGCATGATAAACAATTTAAGATATGCATAGGGACATCGAAGCTTGTCTGCAGATTATTGATGGCCCAGAAAGAAAGCAGATGATGGTTTCTCAACCTGAGATATGTTAGTGCTGAATGGAAGCAACCAGGATAGCAGCCGTATTAAAGAAGGGATAAGGATTAAATTAACTTTTCTCTCTTATATATATATATATATATATATATATATATATATATATATATATATATATATATATATATATATATATATATATATTTTTTTATACGTTTGTTAAAACTGTTGCAACAGTGTAATATGAGATGGATAGCCTGTGGAAAAAAATCAAGCTCCTCCGCCTCTTCCCAGTGCTGCTATAGACCGCTCCCAGTCAACGACCATGCTAACTACTCTGAGCATTCACGACAGGCTCTGCTGACCGGCAGACGCTGCAGTGTGCCAGAGAAAGGGACTTGGTGTGAGCAGCGCGTACACAAGGGAGACTGACAGCGCTAAGACCCTCCTCCTGACTCTGATTGGTTGTTTCAGACCAAGCTGTCCGTAGTTAATTGGAGCACTGGAAGAAAGCAGAAGAGCTTGATTTGGTCACAGATTATCTGTCTCATACTGTCACAGTTGCAAAGAACTTCAAATGCATAATTTCCACTTTTCATAATTAACCAAAATTCCCTAACAAATCCCTCAGGTGATATTAAAGCTTTGTCACTGTGCAGGTTTTCAGACCCTTCCAGCGATTCCTCTAGAAAAGTCTCCAGGAACAAACATAAAATTTTTTTTTCTTTCTGGTGTTATTGGAAACTTCTGGAGGCTTGTTTTTTATTCTCTCAGCAAGCAGCAGCAAGCACTGGGTCCAACCGTGGGCCCTGAAGCACACGAAAACAACTTTAGCGTCATTAGCAGCTAACGATCGGTGGCCAGAATTTCACCAGACCCTTTAAAGATGGTGTAGGCTCATTCTGTGCTATTTTAACTTAGTATTGTCTACTAAGAAGTCATTACTAGTCACCTTTGTCAACTTGATGGGGCATCTACTGCCTTTCTTACTTCAAAAATATGTCTCAACCATGAACACAATAGGGCTTCAAGTTTAAAGAACACAGTTCCATGCCTAGGGCATAACAACAGCTTGCATTTTTCTTCACCATAATAGGATAAATGGGAACAGCAACAACATAGTTCTTCCCTTTAATGACAAGAGAAAAACAAAAATCTCCGTGCACCCTCGTGTTTTATCTTTTTATTCTGCATAACTGGATGAAGATGCCTTTAAATTTTTTTAGGCTTAAACATGTCTTGTTCCTCATGTGCCACATTCTGTAATTAGCATCTCCACAACGCGTTTGTCTTTGTTGGATTATGTTAGAGTGCCACCCCATTTTTCTGCTTATATTTGCACATCATTTTTGGCTCAACTACTCATCCCTCGCAGCATTAGCACCTTTTACATTCTCACTAGTGTAGCCACATGTGTTAATGAGGCCACTGTAGCTGTGCCAATCGACCAAAATCTCACACTTTGACTCCTTCGCGCGAGCCGCCTCCATTGTAACCTGGACTCTGAATCGATACCGAGTCAATTATGGCAGCCACCTATTCCCCTCCTCCGCTTCCTCCCCTTTTCCATATGGAGGAAAACACCGTAACAACGGAGCCGTATTTCTTAGCTCAATTGCTTCCAGCTTTCTGGATGTGTGTAGTCGGACACAAAGGTGTTTAAGAGGCTCTGTGCTGGCACTTTGCCACCTTTCTCCACCTTCTCTTCCCTGGCCACATGCATCTACACGGGGTATCGCTCAGGCAGAACCTGGGGGTGAGCGGTGCGTTTCACAAGAGAGTGTCTGAGCTGGGGGGGGCGGGGGGGAGGCGGGCTGGAGGGGCTCCTTTAGCTGTGATATCCTGTCCCGTGTATGTGTGCGGAGGCATATGGTGGGGCATCGTGCAAGTTTTACGTGCTGCGCCTTTGTTTCGGTGATCACTT